AGTACACTCTTACCTACGGGAGATCTACCTAAACCAAGAAATAGCTATGATATGGATTCAGCTGCAGGTATGGTTACTATTATATTACTATTACGCGTTGATACAAATGAAGTCAATTTACAATATTAACACCATGCATTTCTTATAATTTAGAGACTCAAACTTTTTTTGAATAAACTTGTAATTCACGGGTTATTTACACACGAGTTTACTCCTCTTCCAATTAAATACGATATATGTCAATATGGTTGAGTTAACAAGATTCCGAAATAAAATCGTGCACGCCAACGAGATCATTTGAATATGTAGGCAAATTAAAATACATTGTTTATTAAAAAGTAAATATTATCTAAAGTTTATGAAACTGGTAATGAGTTTGATGCTAATCGTTCCTGAATAAATGCGTAGCTTCGGTTCACTGGATGGTGAAGCTTCATTGTCAGTTTCAGCGCCAGCCGAATGATGCATGCTTCCTTTTCCAAATGACCGGTCAATTTTCTTGCTAAACTTCATTTGGACATTGGACAAGCCTTGATAGACTAGAAGATGCGATAAATGCAGATCCCACAACAAATCTTCCGATTGTAAGAACTAAAACCAGGTATCACGCAAGTGATGAATCAATCCACTTACGGCAAAATAAATATGGTAGATGAGAACACATTTTTTATCGACAAATATTTATTACTCTACATATATAATCGTGTTTGTATTTTTATTAACAGAGAATTAGAGAGAAAATATTTCTTTTACTTTTGAATTTGAAGGCGGGTGGAGTGGGAGAATGCCAAGAGCTGAGAAGGGCAAGAGATACAGTGTGTTATAAACACGTTTAGCGCGTTATGTACACATACATGCAATTTACTACGCCTAAAATACAAAATGAAGTTTGTGAGCTAAAATCTAAGGTATTTAGCAGTGCCATCATTACAACAACTTTAGAGATAAGTGCATGTGCAATGCCTTCTTCAAAAGAAGAGGCACAATGTCCAACTTTATTACAACGGCATTTAAATTCGTGTATCTCATATATGACAATATCAAAAAACCAAAGAGACAATGATCTCAAGCACACTTGCTAGATTGCCAAAGTCTACCAGCATGAAAATGTTCCGAGATGCTTAGAGTAGCCGTCCAGGTTTAAAACCGATTGTAATTGTGAAAAAAATGTAGAGAAGAGAATGCCCCGAAAAATTGGCAGACAGTATTGTAATTATCTTGTAAACGAGAAAAACGGAGAAAGGTTTAATTAATAAAATCTGTGGAGTTTCGACTTTCGAACAAGCTATTTTTGGATTGCTGGTTGCAGCGCGCCTGCGCATGCAAACGCGGAGATAAGAATCACGAGGTTAACAACGGTTGTACCACCTTTTTTTTTGGCTGATCGTCAGCACCCAATATTAATATTAAGCCAAACTGCTTCTTCAACATTTATACCGTAGATTGACAATCTAAAACGTACCTTGAGCTATGGATGGTCTAAATGAACTTGAAAAGCTCGAGTATCTCTCACTCATTTCTAAAATCACCAGCGAACTTTTTAATCACACTGGCCTCAATGATAAAACACTTGGTATGTAGATCGGTCACTTTTAATTGTATGCCCGATTGCTTCGACGACCTGTATGTGTTGACTGGTGGTTTTTACTCTTCCACATAGCCGAGTTTGTAATAAACCTTCACGAACAGAATCGTTCGCTGCCGGAATTTAAAAAAGTTCTGAATGAGGCTGGAGCAGAATTTCCCGAGTCCTTTATTGCAAATCTGGATCGTTTAATACTTAAAATGAATCCAAAGTATAAGAAGAAAGGCGACGACGTTAATGGTGAGGCCAAATCAGAAACATATAATCCAGACGAAAAGGCGAAACTATTTCCTGGTCTAGCGATGCCTAATGATCCTGAATGGGTAAGTAGTTATGAGAATTCAGAAAGTCATTCGTGAATTTTTACCAAGTATGATATATGTTTAACAGCAAAAATCAAGAGATGAAGACGCCAAAGTTGCTGATGCGACCTTTGCACAACTGGAGAGTCTAGAGAGTATGGTCCGATCAAAGAAGTTAGAGGCCATGGAACGAGATAGCAAACATCGAAAGCGCAACAGGAGCAGAAGTTCCAGCAGAGATGTCTCACGCTCGCCCGTGCCAAAGCGTCAAAGATCTCTGTCACGATCACGATCACGATCACGATCACGTTCTCGTTCTCGTAGTCCACCTTATCGAAGGCGCCGAGGTCGTAGTCGTAGCCGTAGTCGCAGTCATAGTCGTGGTTATGGTCGTAGTCGCAGTCGCAGTCGTGATCGTGGTCGTCGTAGTCGCACTCGCAGTCGCAGTCGCGGTCGTAGAGACAGAAGTGGGGAACGAGGCAGAATACGGCAGCGAAATAATTATTCGGATCATGAGCGGGGGGGCTATGAGAAAAATCGAAGAGAAAACTATGTTGACGAAAGTCCGATTTTATATAAAATATATAACGGTCAAGTGACTAATATGAAAGAATTCGGTGCCTTTATATGTTTGGATGGAGTAAAGGGAAGAGTTGAAGGTAATGTCTTTGTTATTTGCTTACAGTCATGTCACACAACGCTTCCGAACGAATAGTGCTGATCTGATTTAATTATATGTAGGGATGGTTCATGTGAGCATGCTTCAAGCGGGCGGAAGAGTAAACCACGCATCAGATGTCGTATCTCGAAATCAACGCGTAAAGGTCAAAGTCATGTCTATTATTGGATCACGGATAAGCTTATCAATGAAGGATGTAGACCAAGAGACGGGAAAAGATCTTTCTCCGCATTTACGTGTGAAGACTGAAGCGGTATGACTTTTCCTTATAGAGTCCATTTTTCTAAATTTTTGTATCCAAATACTAACGACAATTCTGTCGGTAATAGGAACTTGCCGCTGAAGCAAGCCGTAATCCCGAGAAACCTTTGTCTCTCGCTCAGACTCCTATATTAGAAGAAGACGAAGATACATCAAGGTACAAACGCCTTTCATCGCCCGAACGCTGGGAAATCAAACAACTTATAGCGTCTGGTGTACTTAAAGCGTCGGATTATCCTAATTTTGACGAAGAGCATGGTGTAATGGATAACATGGAAACCGAGGAAGAATTGGACGTTGAAATCAGAGAAGAAGAACCACCGTTTCTCAGGGGTCAGACGAAGCATTCTATGCAATTGAGTCCCATCAAAGTCGTAAAAGCTCCCGAAGGAACATTAAACCGTGCTGCTCTATCTGGTGCCGCGCTCGCAAAAGAACGAAGAGAATTAAGGCAAGTATGGCATTGAGCAATTTGGAAATTGTGAATTGGCTGTTTCTTCCTATGCTTGAAACCATAGGTTAATGACCCTTGTTTGTTTCTATAGGCAGCAACAAGCGAATGCCGAGTTAGATTCTGTTTCCCGTGATGTTAATACAGCTTGGCTAGATCCTATGCCTGAACCCGGTGAACGACATTTTGCGCAAGATTTGCGTAGCATTGCCGCTGGTCGCAAAGCAGGCGAAGTGCCGGAATGGAAGAGAGAGACGTTTAACAAGGCCACAAGTTTTGGCAGAATAACAAACATGTCAATCAAAGAACAAAGAGAAAGTCTGCCTATCTTCAAGTTACGCTCGCAATTGATTCAGGCTATTACGGATGTAAGTACATTAATCTTGCTTAGCGGTGTTACGCTCGCTGCTCTTTCTTGTTTTCGGCGATTGTTGCATAATCTTATTTATTGTTTAGAATCAACAATTGATTGTAGTTGGCGATACAGGTTCGGGCAAGACAACACAGATGACTCAGTACATGTACGAAGAAGGGTTTGCGAACAGTCGAAAAAAAATCGGTTGTACTCAACCACGTCGTGTGGCCGCTATGTCTGTGGCCAAGCGTGTGGCTGAGGAAGTCGGTTGTCGTCTTGGCGAGGAAGTAGGATACACAATTCGTTTCGAAGATTGCACGAATCCTGAGAAAACATGCATTAAATACATGACGGATGGTATGCTGCTTAGAGAGTGTTTATTGGATCCTGATTTGAACTCGTATGCCGTCATCATTCTCGATGAGGCTCACGAGAGAACAATTTATACGGATGTGTTGTTCGGGTTATTAAAACGTAAGTTGGGGGTTTGTTATGAAAAGTTTCAAAGACGTGAACGGTTAACAATCAATGACTAAAATACATGCTGTTTTATAGAAACTCTCAAGAAACGTCCCGAACTTAGGGTAATAGTCACGTCCGCAACGCTCGATGCAGAAAAGTTCTCGAAATACTTCTTTGGCTGTCCTATATTTACTATTCCTGGTCGCACCTATCCTGTCGAGATATTGTATACAAAAGAGCCAGAATCGGATTACCTGGACGCAGCGCTTATTGCGGTTATGCAAATTCACTTGCAGGAACCGCCAGGCGATATTCTTCTTTTCCTGACTGGTCAAGAAGAAATTGAAACCGCTTGTGAAATTCTGTATGAACGTATGAAAGCTCTTGGACCTCAAGTTCCTGATCTCATAATTTTACCAGTGTACTCTGCATTACCTGGTGAAATGCAATCTCGTATATTTGAGCCAGCGCCTCCAGGCAGTCGTAAAGTTGTCATTGCTACGAATATTGCGGAAACATCAATTACTATCGATGGCATCTATTATGTTGTCGATCCTGGGTTTGTTAAGCAGAACGCTTATGATCCTAAAATTGGTATGGATTCGTTAATTGTAACGGTATGTTAATCAATTGTATATCTCTTTTTCTTTTGCCTATGGCATATATTGGATTTTACTAAAGCAAAGCAATATGACACCTTTTCAATAGCCGATTTCTCAGGCACAAGGAAATCAACGTGCTGGGCGTGCTGGACGTACTGGACCCGGAAAGTGAGTAGTCATGCTCATTGTATTATCCCTTCACGTGAATGCTTTATTGACTTCTTCCCCCTCATAGATGCTATCGATTATATACAGAGGCGGCCTTCCGCAACGAGATGCTTCCGAATCCCGTTCCTGAAATTCAACGGACAAATTTGGCCCATACGGTACTTACGCTCAAGGCTATGGGGATTAATGATCTACTTCATTTCGACTTTATGGACCCACCTCCTGTACAAACGCTTCTTACTGCGTTAGAGCAGTTATACGCTCTCTCTGCTTTAGACGATGAGGGCCTATTGACAAGATTAGGTCGAAAGATGGCAGAATTTCCATTGGAACCGCCACTCTCCAAAGTGCTGATACTTTCGGTCGACCTTGGTTGTTCAGAAGAGATTCTTACCGTTGTTGCAATGCTGTCCGTTCAGAATGTCTTCTACAGACCGAAAGAGAAGCAGGCGGCGGCTGATCAAAAAAAGGCCAAATTCCATCAGCCCGAAGGGGATCATTTAACTCTTTTGACTGTTTATAATGCGTGGAAGGCTAGCAAATTCTCTAATGCATGGTGTTTCGAGAATTATATTCAGTCAAGAAGCATGCGTCGTTGTCAGGATATCCGCAAACAGCTATTGGGTATTATGGATAGGTATAAGCAAGACATTATTTCCTGTGGAAAGAATTACAACAAGGTTAGGAGGGCTATATGTGGTGGCTTTTTCCGTCATGCTGCTAAAAAGGATCCTCAGGAAGGATATAAGACTTTGGTTGAGGGTACGCCGGTATATATACATCCATCCAGTGCACTGTTCAACAAAGGACCAGAATGGTAAGCTCAAATGAACATGTTCAGTATGTGAGTGGGTTGCTTGCTTTTTGACACCAATAAATAACATAACAAACTTTTGTTCTTTGCATAATGCTCCTCTAACAGGGTGATCTATCATGAATTAGTCCTGACCACTAAAGAATATATGCGAGAAGTTACCGCTATCGAACCGAAATGGCTTACTGAAGCAGCACCCAAATTCTTCAAAGTGGCAGATGCAAATACTATCAGTAAGCGCAAGAGAGGTGAAAAGATTCAACCACTGTACAACAAGTACGAAAAGCCAAACGAATGGCGTCTCAGTCGCGTCAAGAGGCATCAAAGGGTATCACAAACCTTTGGATAATTATCGTTGGATTTGTAATGAAATAATAATAATCGAGTTTATGAGCTAATTGTGTTCAAAAATAAATAAAGTAAAATAAATAATCGTGACCAAAGTACACTGTGAAACTCGATATAACGGAGGCTACGGTTCCTCCCCTAAATCAAAAGATCCGCTAAATCGAGTTTTCACAATATAGTACTCATATCAACTT